GCTAGAGAGTTCTGAACGCTGTCTCCGTGTAAAACATTCTTCGTCGACTCCGTCCACACCTTTGGGAACCCCTGGACCGCTGGGCCTGGACCCCTGCACAGGCCTGCACTCCAAGCTGCCGAAGCTGCCTCACTGGCGAAAGCAGCTTGATCTGCACAGTTAACAAGGAGGAAATCGAGGCCAGAACATGCTTTCTCAGAACACCGCCTGGGGAAATACCTCTCCGAACTCAAAGCAACTGCAAAAGCTGCAAGTCCCCAGGTGTCCTCCTCCCACCCTCCCCGCTGACAAGTTGCTCTCTCTACCCAGTTCCATGCATCAGGAAATTTCACCAACTTTCGATGAAAGCATTTTTGTAACAATGTCCCATCTTCCCGGGCTTGCTGGGAGCAGCCAGGGGGGCCGTTTCCTGAGCTGGAGCTCCTGCTGGTTGATCAAAACGCAGGACAGAAGTTTAGAATGAGAGTCCGTTAAAGTGAACAAGGTGCTCTTGACCCAGCAAGGGGAGGAGGCCGCACGGCGTGGTGCCCACGTGGAGCTGGCAGGTGTGCGGCTGGTTCCCTCAGTCCCCGATCCAACATGGAAATCAGCCTCAGGCCTGCAGACAGAGGTCCGGTGACCCACCCGCCAGTCCCACTGTGCCTGGGGACAGATGCACATGGCGATGCTTTGAGAGGGTCCGTCCGCTGAAGGGTGTGAAGGAACGACACGCCTCCACTCTCCGTGCCACACCCTGTGACAGCCAACAGCCTGGGCCTGTTCCGTCCCGCGGACCCGGGATTCTTACACGGCCCCGTAATGGACTCGGTCTGTGTGGTCCCTGAATCCGCGGGAATTGTCACCAAAGTTGTGGGAGTCGTGTGTCTGCGAGGACCCTGCCCCCCACGCTCTCGGCCTGTGCGGAGGACACGGTGCCGCCCGTGTCTCTGAAACAGCCTGGCTCCCCCTGGGCATTTGCTGCGTGTCCAGCTTCCTGTCTGGTGATGGACATTCTATTTCCTCTCCTCCCCGGTCTGGGAATGAAACACTCATCTCCTGCCCAAACATGTGTGTCTGCTGGCCCCACCCAGCACAGCTGTTTGCCCGGCCCTCCCTGGACCAGGTTCCCACCACGAGGACAGGACGTGCTCCCCACATCCGCCTCTGCCACCAGCCTGGTGACTTGTGGTCACTGAGCCCAGTAGCCAGAGAGAGACTCTTTAAAAAGACTCTCAGACGTGTCATTAAAATCTCAGTGTTGGGTTTGGGGGAAGGTGCTGGGCGGCTCCCGCCCCTGCTTTCCGGAAACACAGATTTTTAGTGTTTGAAAGTGACAGAAGGCTAAAGTGAGACGGCCCTAAATATACTGTCCTGGGCATTTCCGGCAGCTGGGCATGTGGGATTAATTCTGCACAAGCGGCCTCTTGCCCGAAGTATTGGACCAGGCCCCGCAACGGAGCCACCTCGGGTCCCCCTCCAGCCCATGCTTCACCCCACCTCCACGCACAGCTCCCACACCACACCCTGCTCCCTACTGCCTGGAGCTTGGCCCCCCACTGGCCAGAGGCACAACCATGCTCCTAGGCCGGAACTCCAACTCTCCTCAGTCAGGCCACCGCCAGACTCACAGCCCGTACCCCACCCCTCTGATCTGTGGGTGGCCCTGGCCCACTCAGTCTGTGCATTTGATGTCCCCTCTGCCTAGAAAGCCCTCCCTGCCACCTCCCCACCTGCCAAGACTCCGTCATCCCATCCTTTGAGGCCAGTTCAGATGTCACCTCCTCCAGGAAGCCCACCCAGATCCCACCACACCATGGGACCTCTGACTCCCGCACTGACGGGGCCTCCCCAGGAGCTGTCACTCCCACCTTGCTTCTTGTTCCTTTCCATCTCTCCCTCTGGCCTCCCTCCTCCTTCACCTGCTCCGAGAGGACCCTGCCACCCTTTCGCCCTTCGCTGTGTTTTATGGCTGTCGTCTCCCTGTCTGTGCTGTCATCTCTCAGCTCCAGGCCTTTGCTCACACCGGTCCCTTCCTCTGCCGCATTCTTGTCCCGTGACCTCGTGGTAAATTCACCGTCACCCTCAAGGCCCAGCTCCAGTGTCAGCTGTGAGCGCTCACCGTCCCACGTCCATCCGCACACCTGGTGGGCTCTGAAGTGCACTCAGTCATGGTCCTGCGCCACTCGGCCTCTTCTCCTTGGGTCTGACGTCCGTCTCTCAGAGGGGGGACCTGTCCTCTCTGCCTCATCTGTGGGCCCAGAGACAGAGGGCGGGGCCGGACCTGCTGGGTCGGAGGCTTGGGGGCAGAAATGGAAGCTGCCCTTGTTGGCCCCACTGTGCGTCAGGTGCTGTGCTGGGCACCTCACTACCGGGCTCCGGGCCTCTCAGCACTGGGGGCAGAGCCTGTGGGCAGGCCCGTTCCCCAGGGAGGAAATGCCTCTCCCAGGCTGTCCGGCCCCTGGTTCCCACGGGCCCTGCCACCCTGGAGCCCGAGCCCAGAGCCAGGAGCGAACAGCCCGCTTTGTCTTGCAGTGGAGCTCGACCGCTCCCTGGGCCACCAGGAGCCCCCCTGGAAGGAGTTCCGCTTTGACCTGACCCAGATCCCGGCGGGGGAGGCGGTCACAGCTGCCGAGTTCCGGATTTACAAGCTGCCCAGCACCCACCTGCTCAACAGGACCCTCCACGTCAGCATGTTCGAGGTGGTCAGAGAGCGGGCCAACAGGTGCCTGCCCACACCCCGCCTCCCGGTCAAACTCTGTGGGTGTGTCGGCCCAGCCCTGGGGGGACGGACAGGGGCTTCCTGGGAGCACACCCTCCAAGAGGAAGATGCTTGGCCCGAGGCCCTGGCACCCTGGCTTCTATCCCCTCCCTGCTGTCCTGGCTGTGGGACCTTGGACGGGTCACCGAGCTCCCCAGCCTCAGTTTCCCCATCTGTCCACGGGGGCGGCAGCACCTTTCTACGGCAGATGCGGTGAGATGAGGCAGTGAGGCGCCCAGCTCAGGGCCAGGAGGGCCGACGCCCCAGGAGTGGTCCCCAGGTGGGCACAGGAAACACGAAGGCAGCTGTGCCGGCTTCGGTTAATTGTTCTTTCGTATCCACAGGGAGTCTGACTTGTTCTTTTTGGATCTTCAGACGCTCCGAGCTGAGGACGAGGGCTGGCTGGTGCTGGACGTGACAGCAGCCAGTGACCACGGGTTGTTGAACCGTAGCAGGGACCTGGGACTCCGCCTCTACGTGGAAACAGAGGACGGTAAGGCCGGGGGCAGGCAGCGAACCTCCTCCCGGGCTCTGGTCAGGGGTCCGGGTTGCACCCCAGCTCTGCAGCTTTCTGACTGGGACTTTGGCAGGTTACTTACCCTCCAAGCCTTCGTTCTCTCGCCTGTGGAAGGAGGATTCAGGCCTTCATCCATCCACCAGGTGTTTAGGGGCGGAGCCTCCTGTATCCCAGGCAGTGGGCATAGAAAGCCGAAGGTGGGCCCGGATCCTGTGTGACTACATCAGGGGGCCGCAGGGCTGGAGCAGAGGGTCAGGGGGAGGTCGGAGGGAGAGGAGCTGAGAGGCAGGCAGCGGCATGCGGAGTCAGGGTGAGCCAGCGGAAGGGGTGGAGTTTTTAGGGAGCTTCTTGAATTGCACAGCAGTGGAGGGCGGCAGGGTCTGAGTTAGCTTTTCATAGAAGAGCCCTCACGGAGGTGTGGCGTCACTCCCATCTCTAGTGTGGGCAGCCCTCGGTGACTGGCTTCCCCCGGACAGTGTGCAGGGGGAGGGGAGGGGACTGGACGGTGGGAAAGCTGACCAGCACCACCTCAGCCAGGCGACCAAGGTTCCCATGGACACTCACTGGGCTCTGTGTACCCTGGATGGGGGTGGGAGGCTCTTCTCCTCGGGGGTCTCCTCCCCAAACCCACGGCCCCGTGTCGCCATGAGAAAAACATCAGACCGACCCAATTGAAGGGCAGCCTGCAGAATGCCCGACCGGCAAGGCCATCAACAACGGGGCCGGCTGAGAACTGCACAGCCCAGAGGCGTTGCCATGACTCCGTGCCCTTGGGGTCCTGGATGGGTTCCTGGAGAGGAAAGAGACCTGGGGAAACGAATGAAATCGGAATAAATCGTGCTGTTGAGTTAAGAAGGTATCAATACCGGCTCAGTTGTGACAAATGCACCACAGTAATTGAGATTTAACATTTCCCGGGGGACACTGCGTTGGGTATAGGGGAATTCTCTGTACAAGTACCTTTGCAAGTTTTTCTACATCTCAACTGTTGTAAGTAAAAGCTTTATTTATTGTGTGCATAAGCACACACCCTGACCGCAGCGAGATGTGTAAGCTGTGGGGGCAAGAGTGAAGCGAAGCCAGAGAGGCCCCGGCAGCCAGTGTCCAGGTGAGGGCTGGGGGGCTGGTAGCAGCAGAAATGGAGACAAGTGGGGAGAGGGATCGGGAATAAAGTGGACGGAGCCATTGGATTTGTTTTTAAATTACTGTTTACAGTCCATATGGTTTTCTATTAATTTCAGGCGGACAGCATAGTGGTTAGACAATCATATACTTTATAGTCTTCCCCAGGTATTTCCAGTACCCACCTGACACCATACATGGTCATTACAATAGTATTGACTATATTCCCTATGCTGTACTTTACATCCCGGGACTGTTTTGTAATTACCAATTTGAATTTTCTTTATTACTGATTTTAGAGAGAGGGAGAGAGATAGAAACATCAGTGTGTTGTTTCATTATTTATGCATTAATTGGTTGCCTCTTGTATGTGCCCTGACCGATGGGAGGGAAACCTTGGCTTGTGGGGACAATGCTCTAACCAGTGGAGCCACCCAGTCAGGGCCTGGAACTACCAATCTGCACTTCCTAATCCCTCCCCTTTTCACCCAGCCCCCGCCCCCCCCCATTCCCCTCCCCTCTGGCAACCATCAGTCCGTTCTCTGTGTGCCAGTGGGTTTTTAAAATATATACTTTTTTCCTTCCCCGAGTTGGGGAAAGTAGAAGAGGGGCAGGTTTGAGGTAGGGAATGGCTCACTGGTAGCCCTGGCTGAGGTCCATAAAAATGTCATTCCAGGACAGGTGCGCTGGGGACACAGGTTTGGGAACCAGTGAAACAGAAAAGTGGGTTTAGAGCCTTGAAACTGGGCAGGCACCTGGGGAAGAAGCTCAGCGATGGAGCCAGAAAGGGATTTGCCACTGAGTCTTTCCCTGAGGGGCGCCCCCTGGGGACCTTCATGAGCCCTGGAGCCAGTCCCAGGCCCTGTGGCTGTCCACCTTTCCGGGGTTGGGAGGCGTGGCGCCTTGGGTCAGAGAGGGAGGCTGGGCGGAGTAGTGGCACCAGCAGGCTGGCGCGTCCCCAGCCCGGAGCCCTCCCTGCTCTGTAACGCGTGGCCTGGGGCGCACATGGCCAGCCGCTGCCTGTCCCTGGCAGGGCCCGTTCCTGGCAGGCTCCTGGCCGCGTTGCTCAGGGGCTGTGTCCCCACCGGCTGCTCAGGGTCCTCACAGGCCAAGGGCTGCCTGTGCGGCTTCACTGTCAGCGCTTCTGCCCGTGCCAAGTTCTCCAGGGACCATGGAGGCCGTGAAGGACCTCTCTCATGGGGTGAAAATCATGGTTGGGGCTTCGGGCTCTGTGCAATTCCGGAGAATGTTAGGGGCATTTGACTATGATCAGCAGCGACGCGGGCGTGGACCACTGCGGGCTGGGCCTTTACTGGCGGCCAAGCAGATGACCCGCATCGCATGGCCTGCCCCTACGTGGGCCAGGACACGCTCTATGAGCACCACTTCTTGGCGGGTGAGCTGGAGCTGGAGGTGACCCCAGGGCCCTTCGGCTGAGCGCATCCATGCAGGCGGGGCTGGGGTGCCGCCTTCTACACGCCCAGGGCCAGCGGGACTCTGGTTCAGGAAGGAGGCGCCCCCCTCAGGTACGATCACGGCGGCCAGTGGCCATCATGAGTCAGCCCAGAGGGGAGGAGTTTTTCGGGCAGCACTGTCTTTTGGAGCGGCCATCACCAAGGATGTTGCTTTGGTGCAAGGATGGAAAACACTGAGTGGCGAACCGCTATCTCCGGTGGGAGCGCCAGGAAGTTCAGCCTGCCCGTGTGCACAGCTGCCGAACCTCCGTGGTGGAGGTTGAAGAAATGGTGGGTGTGGGGTCGTTTGCCCCAGAAGGCATTCATGTCGATCACATGGTACAGGGGAAAGTTTGAGAAGAGAGTTGAGTGGTTAACAATCCGGAAAGAGAAAGATTTCGGATGATGTAACAGCTCAAATCATCAAACGGGAAGATCTTGGATTTGAGGATGGCACGTATGCCAACGTGGGCATAGGAACCCCTCTTCTGGCCGCAACGACATCCGTCCCAATATAACTGTCCACCTTCACAGTGAAGATGGAGTCCCAGGCGTGGGTCCATGTCCATTAGGAGGAGGTGGGTGCAGATCTCATCAGTGCTGGCAAGCAAACCGCCATCATTCTCCCAGGGGCTGTTTTCTCTCCAGCGATGACTCATTTGCTAGGATCCGAGGGGCACACATCCATCTAACCGAGCTAGGAGCCATGCAGGTTTCCAAATATAGTGACCTGGCTACCTGGATGACCCCGGAAACACATAGTCCCCCTGTGTGTTGCCAAGGGCTGTGGCTTACGCTGGGAGGAGTTCTAGAAACCTAACCGATGGAATGGTTGGTGCGGTGGATTTGGTGTCCAGGATCAAGACCAGAGTAGTGCTCACCATGGAGCACTGCACCCAGGCCAATGAACCCCAAATCTTGGAGAAGTTCTCGACACCCCTGACTGGGAAGCGGTGTGTGGACGCAGTCATCATGGAAAAGGCCGTGTGACGTGCACAAGAGGAAGGACTGACGCTGGCTGAGCTCTGGGAAGGCCTAACCCGGAGGACATCAGAGAGCGCGGGGAGCGCCTTTGCCGGCTCACCCACGGCCAGGCCCCGGCAGCAGCTGACAGCCCATCTGGGAGGAGCCCTTGCTCACAGAGGCTTGTCTTCCATTTTAACCTCAGGGTCTCATCCAGAGGCGTCCGGGGTCACATTGGTCCATTTCACAAGCAGCCTGACCCGTTTTCTCCCGGCACCTCAGGCTTTCTACCACCAGAAAGACTGTTCGCTCAAGAGGGAAGTGACTTTAAACAAAACAAAAGGAAAACAGACGTTTATCTGTGTGCTCTGTGGGCCCTCAGAAAGCGCTGCTGCAGGCGTCCAGGACTCAGATGCCTCTTCACTGTGATTTTACATGAAAGCTATTCAGCTGGAGGTGACCCCACAGGAAGGTTTCTTCCCTCATGAATGCCGGGAAAAATGTCGGCGGGGCGGGGAGTAACTCCACCCAGAGGATAGCAAAGGCACCATTTTACTAGTCCTATGAAAAATATACAAGTATAAATGTCAGCCCTGCTGGTGTGGCTCCGTTGGTTGGAGCGTCTTCCCATGCACAGAAGGTCGTGGGTTTGATTCCTGGTCAGGGCATATACTCAGGTCCAGGCGCGTGTGGGAAGCAAGTGATTGAGGTTTCTCTCTCTCTCTCTCTCTCTCTCTCTCTCTCTCTTTCTCCCTCCCTTCCTCTCTCTAATATCAAAAACACATCCTCAGGTGAGGATAATAATAGTAAATTTAAAACAAAAAACCCATAAATGTCAGGTCATGGTGGGAAGACATGCTGCCTAAATGAAAGCTTTTCTCCTTTGGCCCTTCTGACTTTTCTGCTGCGGCCTTTCATTTTGTGGCTGGATTTTGTTTCCTGTAGCCTCACCTCCTCTTCCCCACACGCCTCCTCCGCGTGGCTCAGTGTGTCTCCAGAAGAAAAGGAGGACCACGCGGTGGGACGTGACCTGGTCGTGGGAGGCCTGCAGGGGAGAGGCTGTTGGTGCCGCCAGGGTTCCCTCCATAGATGGTCCCCCTGTGTGTTGCCAAGGGCTGTGGCTCACGCCGGGAGGAGTTCTAGAAACCTGACCGATGGACAGACGGGTTTTCTCACCGTGACTCAGTGCTCCTGTGTCCTGAACAGACTCTCTGTCCTCCCTCTCTGTCGTGGAGCCTGACCTGGCCTCTTGTTAATATTCTCTTGTCATCCAAGAGGGGCTTGAGGTATTTCATCCTGAAGCCTTAGTCTCAAAGACTTAGAAAAATGTGAGTTAGTATGTGTGTGTTTGGGGTGGGGGTGGGCCGAGGGGGGTGTTAAAACCCGACTTGGAGCTTGCACTTCCTAAGCATGGATCTAGGAGGCGCACAACCAACATGAGCCCCTGGGTAAGAGCAGGAAGTTCCAGCTGGTCAAGGAAGGCCTTTCAGGGAGGCCTTGCAGGGGCCTCATCCCCAGGAAGGGACAGGTCCTGGGATGGAGAGGTGGGAGGCAGTGCTCACCGAGGGCACAGCCTGGGGGTGTGGGGGGCAGAGGCCAGGGGCATGACCAGATGGGGGTGGGTGGGATGGAGTAGACACCTTTGGGGGCTCCTGGGCAGATGTGCCCTGGGAGCTGGAACGTCCCAGCGGAGTGTGGGACAGGCAGAGGCTCCCAGGGGCCGACAAGTTACAGGGCTGTTACGCAGTAGAAAGGAGGGAAAGGACTGAGCTTCCCATCCTCACGCGATGAAGGCGCCTAAGGGACAAAGCAGACCAGGTCTACAGCCAGGATGCCCTCCAGGGTTTCAACCAGGCATCCGAGTGACCTTCAACGTGGCACCAGGGTCACACCCATGAGTTCAGGCTGAGATGGAGCAGGGGCTGCAGGGGCACCCAGGGCAGAAGGAAGCCTGGGGAGAGGCTTGGCCCGGCACAGCTGGGGAGGCGCATGAATTAGGACAGGATCAGGCAGGGGAGCTGCCAAGGCATCTGGGCTCTGATGGGGCGACTCGGAAATGGATGAGGCTAGAGGTCCCATGGGCCACCCCGGCTCAGAGGAGCAGCGTCTTCCATCCTGCGTGGCCCACAGCTCCAGGCACGGCCTCGAGTACCCCATCTACTGCAAAGGGGACGGCATGCCTGCCAGCGCCTCACAGGTCAGGTCTAGAGGCGGTACCTGGGCCCCAGAGGCTCCCAAACTCCCATCTCCGCCTTTCTGGAAAGGGGCCTGTCAGCGCCGGCAGCCGAGGGGCCCCCAAGAAGACAGCCAGGAGAAGGCAGGGAGCCCTGCTCACGACGATGGGAGGGA